GTATTAAGGCAAGAAAATACTCTACAGTCATGGTTTCAATACTTACAAATAGTGGATAGATGGACTGTAGATAAGAAAGAGGGAATAACATTAGAAGATAAACAATTGGTTATTCAGATTAAAAATCAGAGTCAGGCCCATATAAAAAGAATTTACAATGTTTTATTAGAGTTAGACTCGGAAACAGAATTGGTTAAAGACTGTATGATTAAATGGGCTCAAAATATACAGGAACCGATTTCATTGGATTTATGGGAGACAATTTGGACTAGAAATGTTAAATTTACACAAGCTCAAAATTTGAGAGAAAATTTTTATAAAATGTTTTACAGATGGCACTTAGATCCTAAAAAATTATCTTGTATGTATCCTAACATACAGCCCAAATGTTGGAGATGTGGCAATAAAGATGCGACATATTTTCATATTTGGTGGAATTGTAAAAAGGTAAAGGCATTTTGGATTATGATTTGGTGGAACATTCAAAAGATTTTTAGAAGGAAGATAAAGTTTACTCCTCAACTATTTTTATTGGGTATCTTTGTGGATTTAAATGATAAAGAAACTATTTTGATGTTGAATTTATTAACTGCCGCAAGGTTATTAATAGGTTTATATTGGAAGAAAGATTCTTTGCCTACTTTAGAAGTATGGGTATTTAAAGTATCTAGTTTTGCAGAGATGGCAAAAATTTCTGCCTATTTAAAGGATCATACACAAGAAAGATATATTACTGTATGGAGAAGATGGATAGATTATATTCAGAAAAAGTATGGAACTAAAAAGTTTCACTTATTTTATGAATGAATATTATAGTAAATATTACAGAGAATTGTCTTATAGGCTATTGGAGTTAAAGGTTAAGTATGATTTTTTTTTCCTTTTTTTAATTATTATTTTTTCTTTTTTTCTTTTTTCTTTTTCTTTTCTTTTTTCTTATTATTATAAATTATTTTAATTATTAACCCTGTATTCTGCTCTGGGAAGTGAAGGGAGGGGGGTTGGGGGTGGGAGGGAGGAAATGTGGGGGGGGTAAGTGTAATATAGATAATGGTTGCTTATAGGGGTGCGGCCTGGGCACTCCCCTTATGCTGCGTTCATGGGTTTGATAGGGATGAGAGGTGGGCAAGTGTAGAGAGGAAGTAGGATAGTGAGAGGAGAAGGGGAGGGGAAGAGAGTAGGATGGGAGGTGAGAAAGAGGAGGGAAGTAGGGAATGTTTTAAGAGAGGGTGGACGCGGCCTGGGGGGAGTGCGCAGGTCGTAATAATGTTTATTTTATCTTAAAATTGTATTGTATACTTTTTTTATAATGTTTATATGGAAAAAATAAAAAACTTTCATTAAAAAAAAACAAGAGCAAACCTTATCACAGCACTTAAATGCAGGGTTAGGAGTGTAACTGCCCTTTCCATTGCCAAATGGAAAAGTTTGGGAGTTTAGCTTTAGCTCGACACCTGTGGTGAACCCAGTGAATGCTATAGATCAGAGGTCTTCAAACCTGGCCCTTTTATGACTTGTGGACTTCAACTCCCAGAATTCCTGGCTGAGGAATTCTGGGAGTTGAAGTCCACAAGTCATAAAAGGGCCAAGTTTGAAGACCCCTGATCTATAGCATTCACTGGGTTCACCACAGGTGTCAAGCTAAAATTACACTTCTCCATTTGGGAATGGAAAGGGCAGTTACACTCTTAACCCTGCATTTAAGTGCTGTGATAAGGTTTGCTCTTGTTCACTTACCTGTTGTCCCATCACTGACACACTTTCACCTTGCTAATAGAAGAAGGAACTTTTCTAGTGACTAGAGACTTTTAGATCAATGATGATTGTACATCATCAGTCATCTGGTGCTCAGCAATGGTCCTGGGGGAGAATCCAATAGCTGTGGTTCTATTTCTGGCAATTATCTCCTGGATATAATGAGGGAAGAGTTTTCTATTCTGTGTTACGAGTGCGCTAACACTCTTCCATTAGCCCATCCTTTGAGTTTCCTCTTGCTTCGTGTGTTATAAGCACTGAAATAGGCATGAAGCAATGTTACACCCTTTTAGCTCAAGGGTCCCCAACTGCTGGACCACAGCCCACTACTGGGCCACAGCCTGTTCGAAACCGGGCCGTGGATAGATGGGCAAGTGCGCGCGTGCGTGAAGCTCCACTTGCACATGTGGCAGGCCCTTGTGCTCGCTCTCAAAGCTCCATTTGCACAACGAGCTTCACGCACCAGCGCAAGTACCTGCTGCTTGCGTGACTGGAGCTTCATATGCAAGAACAAACACATTCCATGCATGAAACTCCATTCACGTGACTGGAGGGTGCAAGCGCCCACTGCTCGCAGAAATGGAGCTGTATGTGGACGCATATGCCTGCCACTCACATCCCCCCCCCACACACACACTGGGCCAGACAATCAAGCTGGAAAGGTTGGGAATCGCTATTTTAGCTTACCAGTTAAGAGGTACATGCCCCACATATATCCTCTATTTGCTGTTGTGGGCTGCAAAAGATGACTTGGGAGGCTGACTGTAGGTTTTAAGTCACAAAAGTGAAACTGGCCCGGTTTGTTCATATGCCCCTATTTATTTTATAAATAGAATATTATTACTTAATCATGGATAATTTTAAAGTGAAAAGGATCCAGCTCTAAGTCTTCACATGAAGATTTTTGCATGAGTAAATTGAATCTTTATCTATGGTATAATTTGAGTAATGCACAATTCTTGTGCTGGAAAACAATTCTACAGAGGATCTGTGAATCATTAATTATCTCTACTGCAAGACAACTAGGAAAGAATAGCACAGCCTAATACAGGTCCTTATCTCCATATAAAACAAATACTACAAATGAACTATACACTCAAAGTTAATATGTACTGAATTTCTTTGGCATATACACAGTCTAATAACTGATAGTGCTGGATTGCAGGACACATTCAAAACAACATAGGCATAAACAGTTATTAAATTAACTATGTAAAACAGTACAATAATAAAGGTTTCAAATTCAATTTATTGAAATAAAGATTCTGCAGTTTCATCACTATTTGTTTGAAATTGGTTCACAAGTGTCCACTTGATTGTTAGCACACAATCTAGAAACAGTTCAGTTTAATTTGGCATCAGGAGTTGTGTAAGTTCTGTCCAAAAAGAATAATGATGTCAATCACAGGTTTTGTAGTTAAAAAGAGTGTACTCGCTACACTATCCTGGGTAACATCTAGAAAAGTGTGTTTGTGTGTGTGTGCAGCTCCCTCATGTATTAGTTAAGATTATATACATAATGAACAACATATATGAGGCAGCCCTGAACAAGCAAAATGGAGACATTTTGAATCTTATTTATAACAAATATATAGGAAAAAAATATTTCATCCTTTTAAATGCTGTGTCTTGTCAGATATATATCAGAATGAAGCATTGCCTGCTTTAGATATTTCTGTATACAAACAATTTTATCTTTTGCACAATTTGCTTTTCAATGGCATATTTACATAAAGCCCACATTTTGTCATTTCTAGCAAACTGAAGTTGAAGGAAATGTAAAATAAAGCTAAGAAAATCATGTTCTAATAATGTTTATAAAATGTGTTTGGATTAGGTTTCAAAACAATTACCTGCTAAAACAGATCTAGATAAGAAACAGTTTTAGAGTGCATTACAGTTACTGTCTTGTACATATATTTATTCTGTCCACTGCACAGGAATCATATTTCAGCTATTAAATCTTTTCATTCGTGGGTAATAAAGAGTATATTTGGGGAAACATCTATTTGGCACTTTAGAAAAGTTGATAGTGCTGCTCCTTTCAGTCTGGCAATTATCTACAGGCAAAGGTGTCAACACCACAATGAGTCTACCAAGAGACACTTTAGAAGCTTCTTGTATTTTAATAGCACTTAGCATTTAAACTTGTATTCCACTCCTAAGTGCTTTACAGCACTCTCTGAGCAGTTTACAATGTCAGCATATTGCCCCCAACAATGTTGGTCCTAATTTTACCGACCTTGGAAGGATGGAAAGTTGAGTCAACTTTGAGCCAGTCAGGATCAAACTGCTGGTTGTTTGCAGAGTTAGCCCGCAATACTGCATTCTAACCACCACAGCTCATAGGCCATGATTTTTTATCTAGTTTTTATCAGTTCTAAGCCAGGGATTCCCAACCTGTGGGCCACGGCCCACTACCGGTCCATGGCCTATTTGTAACCGGGCCACATGAGTGACTGGCTGGTGCATGTGCATACACACAGCCCTACTCACACAAGCATCAGAGCACTCACAGCTCCACTCATGCAAGGGCTGTGGGCGCTCAGGGTCTCAGTCACGCAAGGGTTGTGGACACTTGTGGCCCCCTCACCTGACCACTCAGGACCACACTCGCAGGAGTACTTGGGGCCTCACACAAGGACTCGGGGTCTCACTTGTGTGAGCGTCATGGGTGCTCTTGGCCCCACTTGCGTGAGTAACAGGTGCTTGTGCTCACACACACGTGTCTGCCCCTCTCACAAAACCATCCCCTCTTCCCCCCCTTCTCTCTCTCCAAGCTGCCAACCTGGAAAGGTTGGGGAACTCTGTTCTAAGCTACCCAGGCTCACTCTGTAAAATAGATGGCCTACTACATGTGTGTTGGAGCTGCTTGAAAACAGAATCTTGGATTAGATGGGGGTCATTGTAATCTACTGAATCAGTTCTTACATAATGCAGTTTCACATAATCCCATAAAGCCATCAGTCTACCTCTCCTCCTGCCCAGCAATGAAAATAGCTTTCTGAACTTGAAGAAAATGAGACATTATTCATTATATCAATCTTGTAAAGGCAAATCTACCTCACTGAAATAAGTTCAAATTTATACCATCTCAAATCTGCACATGTCTTTATGGAAAATGGCATAGAAAACTACATCTTAGGACTTACTTTAGGTTTTTTTTTTCAAAGATAAACTTTTCCAATACCTTTGTTAGGTTGAGCTTTTTGGCATGTTATCAAGTCCAACAGTACTTTTGTTACGGTTTAACTAACTCTATGTATTGTGAAACAGCTGATGTGAAACAAAACAAGACTTCTTGGTGCAACTATTTTGGAACTGAAAGACAGCTGATATTTCAGAATCAGAAGAAACAGCAGCCAGTGAAGAGGTAGGTGATAATTCTAGCTCTGAGTAAATGGAATATATCAAATGAGTAAACAAATTCCATTTATTTTATTGACAATGGGTTGGAGAGGGGAGAACAGAATGGAACAATAATCCCAAATACTCAATTTGTGGTATGATGTTCATCCTAAGAAGTAGTTAAATTAGAACAAGGATGATCTAGGTTCAGATATTTTTTCAATCCTAGAGATTGTTACGTAATCTCAAGTCAACAATTGTTTTCTAAAACACCTTATAAGATTATTAGGACGATAAAAGCCCATAGAGACTTTTGACTTACTTAGAGAAATAAGAAAGATACAGTAATGTTAGCTGAATAGAAAATATGAATTAGCATCCATGAATAGAATTGAATAGAATAGAGCTGGAAGGGACCTTGGAGGTCTTCTAGTCCAGCCCCCTGCTGGTTAATTGTCCTCACTGTCAGGAAGTTTCTCCTTAATTCCAGGTTGCTTCTCTCTTTGATCAGTTTCCAACCATTGTTTCTTGTTCCGTCCTCTGGTGCTTTGGTGAATAACATGACCCCTTATTCTTTGTGGCATCCCCTCAAGTACTGGAATACTACTATCATGTCTCCCCTATTTCTTCTTTTCTTTAGACTAGCCAAACCCAAATCCTGCAGCTGTTCTTTGTATGTTTTAGTCTCCAGGCCTTTGATCTTCTTAGTTACTCTTCTCTGAATTTTTTCCAAACTCTCAACATTTTTTTTTGTGATATGGTGACCAAAATTGGCTACAGTATTCCAGGTTTGGTCTTACAGGGTTTTATAAAGTGGTACTAATACCTTACGTGATCTTGATTCTATGCCTCTGTTTATACAACCCAGGATTGTATTAGCTTTTTTGGCTGCTACTGCACACTGCTGACTTATGGTCAAGTGATCGTCCACTAGAACTCCAAGGTCCCTCTCACAGTTATTATTTTTAAGCCAGGTCTTGCCCAATCTGTACTTGTACCTTTGATTTTTCCTACCTAAATATAAAACTTTGTTTTTCTCCACATTGAAACTTATTTTGTTGGATAGGGCCCATTGTTTAAGTTTGTCAAGATCTTTTTGGATACTGAGTTTGTCTTCTGGGGTGTTGGCTACTCCTGCCAGTTTGGTGTCATCTGCAAATTTGATGAGTTCCCCTTCAATTCCTTCATCTAAGTCAGTGATGGTGAACCTTTTAGAGACTGAGTGCCCAAACTGCAACCCAAAACCCACTTACTGTATGCATCATTGGGTGCTGGGTGGGCATGGCCCATTGGGTGAGCGTGGTCCATTGGGTGGGCATGGCTGCGGTGGTAACAGCAGATTGGGTGGGACTAAAAAGTTCAATCAATCAATTCCAACTTTGTGAGATCTTTTTTTTTCTGCAACTTGAAATTGATTGATTGCTTGAAACTTTTTTTTTTTGCACATGGCAGCGGAGGTTTTATAAAACCCAGCAAAAAGTTTTTATAAAACCCAGCTGAAGGTCTAGGAATGGGGCGACGGCACGCATGCCCACAGAGAGGGTTCTGTGTGCCACCTGTGGGACGCCATAGGTTCGCCACCATGGATCTAAGTTACTGAGCGTTATACTTCATTTAATTTTATTGCTACCAACTTTTGGCCCTTCAAGGATTATGATTTTAGAGGAGAAAAATTTGAAATAGTTCATGTATCTGAGGAAGTAGATTCTTGTAAAAAAAACAACAACCCCTAAACCTTTTACCATAGTAAGTGGGCCAGGCTTTCAAGTGCTTCAAGAATTTTATTTGCAGGTGTTTTTCAAAATATATATGACAGAAGTAATTTAACCACAGCATGAATTTATGTCATATCTATTATTTCACAGTGCTGCAGTCAGTATTATGAGAGCTCTTACTTCTTAAATTAATGAAGTGGGAAATCATTATGTTGGGATGTTGGCTCAACAGCAGTAATTGTGAAAGGGATCTAGGAGTCCATTTAAGTATGAGCCAGCAGTTTGCTGCAGCTGCCAAAAAAACAATACAGTCCTAGGCTGAATCAACAGAGGGACACTCTTAAGATCACATGAAGCATTAGTATCACTATATACTGCCTTGGTAAGACCACCTTTGGAATACTGTATCCAGTTCTGGTCAACATGACCCAAAAAAGATGTTGAGACTATAGAAAGAGTGCAGAGAAGAAAAACAATGATAATTAGGGGTCTGAAGACCAAAGCATATGATTAACAGTTACAGGAACAGTCTAATTAATAGAAGGACTAGGAGTGACATGGCAGCAATCTTCCAACATTTGAGAGGCTATCACAAAGAAGAGAGGGGCAACCTGTTCTCCAGAGTATCTGAGACAAGTAAGACAAGAAGGAAACTTATCAAAGAGAGATCCAACCTAAAACTAAGGAGAAATTTCCTGACTGTGAGAACAATCAATTAGTAGAATGGCTTACCTGCAGAAAGTGTCGATGTTCCATCACTGGAGGTTTTTAAGAAGAGATTGGACAGCTATTTGTCTGGAATGATATTGGGCCTCCAGCTTGGGCAAGAGGTTGGACTAGAAGACCTCCTTCCAATTCTGTTATTCTGTATTTTTTAAATCAACAAATAGTGGAAGTCTCTGTAATATGCATTATATGTTGTTGTTGTTGTTAATTGCGAAGTCGTGTCTGACCCATCGCAACCCCATGGACAACGTTCCTCCAGGTCTTCCTGTCCTCTACCATCTTCTGGAGTCCATTTAAGTTCACAATGCATTATATACGATCTCCTAAATACTGTATATGTTTAAAGAACATTATTTCCTATATTCTAGCAGAATTTATAGACAACCTCAACCCAAGATAGCACAGAACATAATGGGATTTTCTTGCTGGGTAACAATGTGTACAACATTGAACAAACTGGAAATCTATGGAGATTTTCAGTCATCCAGGTCATGGTTGTCCCAAAGATGCTTTTTCAAGAGGCAACTGGACTTTCTTGTTTTTTCTTTGAAGACATTTCGCTTCTCATCCAAGAAGCTTCTTCAGCCCTGACTGGATGGTGGGGAATGGAATGGAATATAAATCCTTCCATTCCCCACCATCCAGTCAGAGCTGAGGAAGCTTCTTGGATGAGAAGCAAAATGTCTTCAAAGAAAACAAGGATGTCCAGTTGCCTCTTGAAAAATCACCTTTGGGGCAACAAACTGGAAGCTTGTTTTCCCTCAGTATATGACTGTAGTGTATATCAGCAGCACCTAGAGATGCACCTACAGTAGGTTCCAATATACATTGTAAAGAAACAGAATTCATCAATGGATATAATTTGAAGAATGGGAAAAAACACAATATTGTACTGTCTTGTTTTAGTAAAGTACTGGCCTCTATATTGCCTATGGTTGTATTATGACATTATGTTAGTCTTATGAAATAGCAAAGCATTAATACTTTTTTTTTCAGAACTCTGCAAAACTATTTGTCAACATCTACCAAAACAGTGATCAAAACTATGCTCCAGCTCAAGCCTTTATCTCTTGTTCTGATCCTTTTACTTGGACATATGATGACTGGTGAGATCTAGGGGCCTTCCATTCACAGTTGTTTTGCTTGCTGAATCTTGCTTGCCTCAGCTTTCAGTTAAAGTTAAGTCCTGGTATTAAGTGCGGAATGTATGTGATTTATTATTGTTGCTATACCTAGTTACTTATGAACTAAATAAGGCTCAGACACTTTTCAGAAAAAGTTTAAAAAATAACAGAGTTGGAAGGGACCTTGGAGGTCTTCTAATTAAATCCCCAGCTCAAGCAGGATAATCCGCATCAATGTTGGGTATTGCATTAATCAAGAAATAGCATGAACTTTGTTCTAGCAATAGGACTAGTGAACTGATTAAATAATATTTTAAAAATCAACTTACCCAGATTGTTGTTGTTGTTGTTGTTGTTATATCATGATGTTGGAAGGGAACACTTAGGCCATTACATCAGCCCCTCTTGCCCTGTGCAAGAATCCAAATTAAAGAATCCCCAACAGATAACCATCTACTTCATATATACCCAGATAAGAGAAGTCATCACATATCTAGCTGGTACTCTGACAAATTAACGTTACTATTAGAAATTGCCATAGTAATGAATACTATGTACTATGTATTATGAGTACATACTGATAGTATGTATTTCCTGCATTCCGGAATGATAAAGAGTAAGTCTTGATGTTCTTCTAACATCAGGTATTTGAAGAATACTATTGTATGGCCCCATTATTCCTCTGTTTTCTAAGCTAAATATTACCAAATGTTTCTATCTCCCTTCATAGAGACGTAGCTTGATCATTCTTATTGACCTCTTTAAACCTGATCCATTTTCAGCATCATACCCTGAAAAGGATTTAATCCCACAAAATACAGGAATAAGAAAAATATAATTGTGGAAAATACATGGTAGTTAACATTACAATGCAGGTAACTGATGATCAATTACATGATCATCAATTACAGTTCTGATCCAATCTGGGCATTCAGCAAGTACAAACAAATGAAACAAGAAAACATATAAAAAGTCATATAAAAGTCAAAATCAAAGTCCGCATTCTGGACAGGGAGGACCACTGGTTTGAAAAAGGAGTAAAAGATGCCATCTATTTTAAAACTGAACAGCCCTCTCTCAACAGAGTGGAATACGACACCACCTATCTCCTGTATACAACACAGTCCTTTCAGCAGTTCCAAGAAGATTCCACACCCATTTGCACTCTGATTCAGGTGACCTTGAGTCCACAGATAAACCCCCAAGTGGCCTCAATGGCTTTCAGAGAGAGTGCTAATGACCAGATGAGTGCAAAGAAATATAATCCTCCCATTCTCCTACACACACATCATTTAGTCAGAACTGAAGAAACTTCTTGGATGAGAAGTGAAATGTTTTCCTGAAGGAAAGAACAAAGTCCAGTTGCCTTTTGAAAAAGGACCTTTGAGACATTACCTGGATGATTGAGAATCTCGACATACATATAAAAGTAAATATAAGGATTCTGCAGACCACAAGATGGCACCAATCTGCTACAAAATAAAAGGAAACTTTCTGTAAAGAGACTAGAACAGTATCCAAAATTAATATATTCTCTGAAAATTCTCAATAAATATTTTCCTTAAATTGTATTCAAAAATTAGAGACAATTTATATCACACAGAGAAAATTTAAGAAATAAATAAAATTGCTAAAAACAGTTCTTCACTAGAATGTTTATTCCTGTTGCTGTAGAGAATAGACCACCAATGAAGAGAAACTCCATCTGTTCCAACTGATACCTGAAAATTTCTTTTTCCTGGAAATTCCACTTTAATCAGATATTGGAGGAAAACAAAGTAGCTCTTTCCTTCTGTCATCTTGGCAGGCAGCTTTGAGCCCTGTTTCCCCAACATCTGCTTCTGGTTTTCGATGGAACAAAGCTCTAGGGCATGGGTATCAAACTCGCAGCGTCACATGACGTGTCGCAACGTATCATGACTTTGTTTGCATTGTCGAAGCTGGGTGGGTGTGGCCTCTATATGATGCAACCGGCCCGTGGGCCAGCCATTTGACACCCCTGCTCTAGGGGAATTCAGGGAATTTGTTTACATCCGTGTGCCAAAGCCTTTGTCTCAAACAAATGTGTCTATTCATCTCAGATGCTAGGTTTCTGTCATTGGATTGGCCAACTGAATGCTAGATGTGATTCATGCTTTTGACAGTACAAATGTTTCCCATTAGCCTTCTTCCTTTTCCTCTTTATCAGAATTGTTTGCAGTTGTAATTTTAGTATCTCTTTCTCAGGAAATCCACCCATCTTGAGCTCATTTTCTCCTTTCCTGCCATAGAATCTTACATCACAATGCTTAGAATTCAATTTGTTTTTAGGAAAATGCATTTACCTGATAGATAGCTTTTCAGTGGGCAGTGGACAGAGAAAGGCAATTTCACTTCTTGTTAAGTTCTTGTTATATTATTTAATGCCCTGAAAAATGGGGCATATTTATTTTCATCAAATATTGTGCAAGAGAATGATGCTGATTATTGCTGCAAACCTTTCTTATTTGATTGACTGAGACTCTTGATTGATTTGGAGAACTTTATGGGATGCAGTTTTTAATTTGCACTACAATTTTCTCAGTTGTTTACAGCCCTCATTAAATGTTATATTTGTATATCAGTAAAATTTGCAAAATGTTACATAATTGTTAGCTCAAAGAGTCATTGTGAAGTAAGCTGTTTTCATGCCACTTTGCAGACAAATAATTTTCCTATTAACATAATCAAACTTAGATCCATTTCATAATAAAAACTTAGCCCAATTTCAGAAGAATGGGGCTTAAAAATAGATATATGCATGCCACCAAACTATTGCAGGTCTGCAATAGCAAAATGGATATATAATTCTTTCAATCCATACTGCAGACAGATCAAATCAAATATATAGAAACATAAACCTGCATATATTTGCCTAAATATACCAAAGATTATACTGTATATCCTAGTACTGTAATTCTTGGAAAATTTTGGCTTTCTAGTAGGTGCTAAATTATATGGGTAAACCTCGACTTATGATCATTTGTTTAATTATCATTCAAAGTTATGATGGTGATAAAAAGTAACTTACTGCCAATCCTCACATTTATGAGTTCCCTTATGTCACATGATCAAAGTTTAGGCACTTTGCAGCCAACATGTATTTGTATCAGTTGCAGCAGCCCAGAGTCATGTGATTGCCATTTGTGACCTTCTCTGGGGGGCTTTCAGCAAGCAAAGTCAATGGGAGAAACCAGATTCACTTAACAACTGGGTGATTTGCTTAACGACCCCATAGCTAAAAAGGTTGTAAAATCAGGCATGACTCATTTGTAAAATCAGGCATGATTCATTTAAAAATCACACCACTTAGCAACAGAGATTCCGATTGCAACTGTGGTCATAGGTCGAGGACTACATTTACACCTCATTCAGATGAGCTTTTAATTTTAATTTTTGTCTTTTCCAGAAACTGAAGCCAAAGCCATTTCAAAGAGGCATGTTCGTCATGATTGGCTGATTATTCCTGATACAATTGCATTTAATATATATTCCTTAGTAAATGAAGTGTCACCTAAAGTAGCTGAGTATTTGTTTAATGCTGTCCAAACACCAATTATTCTTGAAACAAGGTATGTCATGTCAAGTGATTGCCATCCACAGCTTGCTAGGTCATTTGTGGAGGTGCATGAATTGGTATGAAAGGCAAGACTGAGAGTAAAAGTGTTAAGTAACTCCAAGGCCAATAAACCATTTGGCAGAGAGACCATCTTGTCACAGGTGGTGGACACTGAGAGGCCATAAATGACAGTAAGATGTTGATGACATGATGTGGCTTCCACAGAGCCTGATTTACTTTTCTTTGCTGCAGCCCAAAGATGTAAAATAAAATGTCCTTTTCTCAATACTGAAATAATATTATTGAAATAAAACTCAACTGATTGATTTCTGCATGTAGGACTGTAGATGGAACTTTAATTCAAGAAGCAAATAGTTTTTGCTGCCCCTCTTATTAATCAATTACTTTTCTTAGTGCATATCCACACACCCTCCTAATTGTGCCTTGAAAATAAGCCACTCACCGTTGTTGAAGCTTCCATCCTCATAATGCAGCCTTTATCTCGTCTTCATCCAAGGCTATTTATCTGATGTAAAGATGTTTTTCATCTTTTCCCAACACCAACTTTGCTATTTTACCAGCTTGTAGCACTTTGGTAGTGATCATAGCAAGGAGAAAGGAATGTCCCCACTTTCCATTCACTCCTATTTCTGCAATATTATAACCACCTGTTTCCTATCACCAGGCTCTCCCACCATCCCTTGCAATTTGGTTTCTGCTTTTATAGTAACAGCTACAGACTGGAGGAAAAGTGGCAGCCACAACAGGAAGATTGCTGCTACTATTACCTGCTTAGGAGCAATAATGGACTTCAATATTGCTGTTGATCTTCTTTTAACCTGGTTGTTGCTACAGTTCCATATTTCAAAGTCCTTTCCTTTTTAAAATTCCAATGTGCTGCTCACAACAGCCCAAGAAGAAATAGGTCAATGTAAATTAGCACATCTGAAGACACTGGACAGTGGAAGTTTATTGGGTGGGATAGTTTTAGAACATTTTTCAAACTCTCTAACATAGGTATCTCTTTTTGGCAGGAACTTCCTGATAAGAGAAACAGCTAAGCTCAATATACTGGCTGAACAACTGGGAGAAAAATTATCTGGATTATGGAAAGAATTGACACAGTCAGCACAGTGATAACACCTGCATGAATCTGTGAAATACATCCTTGTGTTTTTGCACATACAACGATCTTTAAAAAATCAGTAGTGCAAAGGGAAATCTTTGTGAAGGACATTGGGAAATAAATAAGCTAGACTCAGCAAGGTTCTTTCTTCATAACAAATATTATTTGCTTCTGCTATTGGAAATAATCATAATAGACCATTTATCTCATTTCATTAACATTTGATTCCTGTTTTTGTTTGTTTGTTCGTGTGCTTGCCCATCTTGCCATCAGTTATGGCAAACATTTCATACATTTGAATGATTGTGATTCATGAAAGGTTATCCATGGCCATGGTCGTACTAAACAAATCTGTCAACTTTGAGATGTTATTAATCTTTTGTTGACTTTGCTGCAAATGAGCAAATGGCTAACCCTCAGGAAATGTAAAGAAAAAACAGGCAGTGCCTAGTTCCTAGTTAGCATTCTGACGCAAGGCGTCAGAGTATAAATGAGCTGGAAACACAGCTTAATGTGCTTGTTTCTCATGCTAAACAATTAGGAAATTCCTGCCCGGATTTCATCCTGTACCCAGCTTTGGCAATAGGATTGTTCAGATGTACCTTATCATGACCCCCAATTTGTCAATTTCTCCTGTCCTTGACAAAGCAAGCATCCAACTATCCAAGGGCAGGTTATTAAAACCATATGATTTCCTTTTATAAACTTTGTATGAATCTACGTTTGTTGACTCCTCCTTATACTTTTCATATCACTCAGTGAACCACAAGGAAAAGAACACATTATTTTACTTTTCTTGTCACTTAGGCCAGAAGGAGAAACTGACAGAACTTTTGTCAACATTATTTCAGAAAGACTAAACCATCATTTCACAAATGAAGTTGTAAAAAACGGTCAAGCCATTCACCAGTCCACTGATGAACCTGTTTTTTTTTTTAAAAAACTCCAGTATTTCATGGGTCCATTAGGGGAAGATTCTTTCACAAAGGGGCAGACACTCCATAAACCGTCATAGGGGGTAACTTCCAATAGTCAAAAAAATCAGAGATATTCTTGCCACTGCATGTCGTAGACTTTTGGAGCAGACGTGTTTTGAAATAAAGTACAGTGACCAAGCCACACAGTGCCACTTATGCCAGAAGTAGTCAGAAAGCAATATCCCAAAGATGCTTTTTCACAAGGCAACTGGACTTTTGTGTGTTTTTTTGAAGATGTTTAATTTCTCATCCAAAAAGCTTCTTCAGCTCTGACTGGATGGTGGGGAATGGAAGGATTTATACTCCTTGCAGACCGCTGGTCATTTGCCAAGAAGGCTCCACACCCACTTGCACTACTCAGGTGTCCCTGATGACACAGATAAACCTCCAGGTGGCCTCAACAACTCTCTAAAAGAATACAAATGATTAGCTGTCTACATGGAGTATAAACCTTCCATTCTCCACCATCCAGTGAGAGCTGAAGAAGCTTCTTGTATGAGAAGCAAAATGTCTTCAAAGAAAAATGAAGTCCAGTTGCCTCATGAAAAAGTATCTTTGGGACAACCACGACCTGGATAACTGAGAACCTCCACAGAAATTCAGAAAGCAATACTTTGGGTGCAGAGCAAGAAAAGACCAGAAGTTACTTCACAATAGACCAGGCAATTGGAGCCTTATATTATACATGATGGTCTCTAAGAAAGAGCTAATGGGCTATCTTTTTGTGAGGCAGAGAAGACATGAACCAGAGTAAGATAAAGAAGGGACAGGAAAAAATTTAATTGACATCTCGCTTTCCCTTGTGCTCAGTAGGTTGGGACAAGCAGAAAGGTCACTAATACAAAACACACTTTCACAAGTTTATTTATATTCTGCCCTTCATTTAGAGATTGCTTCATAGATTAAATGTCTTTTAAAGTATATTTAATACCTGTTTATTATATACAGTAAGTTCTTTTTTGCAATAAAATAACCATTGCATCTAGTGTGGAAAAACAAGCCTTTAATTCATTTATACTCCATATATTTTAGTTAGAATTTTAGTCATTACTTAGAAAAGGCATCTTTTCCCCATATCAGTAGGTATTAATGGGCTGAATCCAAAATGTTGGAGTAACATGGAATGCCCTAATTGGTTTATGACAAGAATAGAAAAACCATATTCTCTCAAATTCAGATTAGAGACTGGCCACATATTAAGGCAAATCAGAAAAATTGATTCTAGATTTGTGATAGCAACAGTCATCACAGTAATATAAACACAGCTGCCCTTGAACTGCTCCTTCTAAATGCTGTTAATTCAGCAATTGTAAAATATAAATAAAATCCTTTAGGGTAATATACAGTCACTGATATATGTATAACAAAAACTAAAAAGTATGTATCCTTGCAGGAATACTTTACAGGGATATAAAAGAGGGTCATTTCACAGGCTGCCTGGTGAGAGTTACATGCATAGCCTAGGTTATCTGTCTCTTTTTAATTTTATTTATTTTTATTTCACCTTTATTTTTTATAAATAACTCAAGGTGGCAAACATACTCAATACTCCTCCTATTTTTTTCACAATTCTGTGAGGTAGGTTGGGCTGAGAGTGATTGCGCCAACGTCACCCAGCTGGTTTTCATGCTCAAGGGGAGACTTAACAGGAACTTAATGCTTTTCTGGTTTTTAGTCTGGTATCTTAATCACTAAACCAAACTGTCTTTCATTACCAGAATTGCAAAACCATTACAACAGTCCGAAAAGATTGCTCTGAAGAAATTATTTTCTTCATTAAAATTCTAAAACCAGGTTTTCTAGCAGTTTGTCAGCAGTGTCTCTTTCTGCAGCGGTCAGGGCTCAGAAGCCGTGATGTTGGAAGTTGCTCTTGATTGGATTGATGCTCCAATTTTCTAAAAAGGGCTGTGAAATAATTCAGTTTCTCTTTTGGATCTGAAGTTGCATTCTTCAAAGTCGCAGGACTTCATTTTTCAAAAATTCACGGGATGTTAAAAGTCAAAATCAATTGCAGCCTCTGTCCAGACATCTCAGAACTTATATCCAAAGCCCCCTTGAGGACCTCCTTGAGGAGACTATGCTCTACAGTTATGAAAGTAGGCCTCTTCTCAGTTGCAGACCAATAGTTACCTCTACATGCACGAGTTTAATGGTTTTTATTTTTATCTGGCAAACTGTTTTTCTTGACAGGATTAGTAACAAGCATATACCTATCTCAGGGATTCTCAACCTTGGCAACCTTAAGACTTGTGAACTGCAACTGCAAGTTGAAGTCCACAAGTCTTAAAGTTGCCACAGTTGAGGACCCCTGACCTATCTGGTAGGGGACTTGTGACCTGGTTGTATGGTGGAATCTGGTGCTGAGTTACCAGAGGAGGAAATAAACAGAAACCTTGAATCACTGCTATGCAGGAAGTAGCCCAAGAGGAATCCTCCCTAATTTCTTTTCAGCATTTATCAGATAGTTATGCAGTGTATACTTTAGTCTGATGAGATTTTGTCCATGGGTGAACATGCAATAAAGAAACTGCTTGAACTGTCTCATTCTTGGTTTCCCTTGCCTGACAGGTGGAAACCGTAAGAATCCCTGGGGGAATCTCATTCTGGAAGGCAGGTACTATGACAGAGAAGGTGCACTTCCTGGATCCTGCGAAATGGCACTGTTTGATCAAGGAGACAAAACATGCACTAATTCTGACAACACTTACTTGCCAGGCAGAAGCCATGGAAGATAGGTAGTCCCTCAAATAACCTGGCCCTATTCCATGTAGGGCTTTATAGGTGATAACCAACACCTTGAATTGCACATGAGCAATCAGTGCAGCTCACGAAGCAAGGATGTTATATGAGCATACCAAGCAAGCTTTTCACTGCCCATGCCATTGCATTTTGGACCAGTTGAAACTTCTGTTGGGTCCAAGGATAATCTACTATAGGGATTTCCTATAGTATCTACCTGGTGGATTCAATCTGGCAGGGTTGGTCCCTTCAGTTAAGCAATGCCTTCTATCAGGATCCAGGAAGGGCAATTTCTCTGTAACATAGCCTGCTCTCTGGAATAGGTTCCCCATGAGATCCAAATGGCTCCTACCCTGCTGGTGTTTTGAAAGTATTCAAACACCTGGTTCTTCAACTAGGTCTTTGGTGAGGATGACTGAAACTCCTTTTGATCTAGGTTGCTTTTATTTGTTTCTACCCAATTGTTATTCTGCCATCTCTGCCTTTTGTTTTGTTTTAATTGTCTTGTTTTTATTTTTAAATAACTTGTAACTTAAATAACTTTAAATTACTGGCATCTGGTGGAAGATAAATGTGTAAACAACATGTTTAGAGTCCAGTTCACAGTAAAATGTTATTTAGATCATTTAATTTCTCATTGTAGAAATTAAACCCCATAAGAGATTTTGCATTTCCTCCCTGAAATTCCCATGTCCTCAGATTAGGGTCAAAGCCTTTTATTCCGTCCTGATTTTTGTTTGTTGGCAAGAGGTGGTCTCCAATTAGGTCCTCCTAACTTGGGCATGTCACAGCTACAGAAAACATGGCCTCAGATTGTAGGATAAAAGAACATTTTCCCCAGTTTTACTTGGCATCATAACAATCAAGCACTTTACAGAAACAATCACTTTTCTTATGATACAAATTTTGCAAAGAGGTGCAGAAACAATATCCAAGATATGTCTGAGTTTAAAGATCTCGCTCATAAATTGCCAGTAACTATTTTAGATTTTCACTTTGCTGCTTATGTCCTGATTAAACTGCAAACTGCCTCTTAGGGAAGCCAAAATGCAAGTTTTGAGGCTGATACATCTGGGCTGCAAAAATCCAGATGATCAAAGTTATAGTTCTCTATATTTCTTTGTTGTCATTTATTGTTTGTCTGGATTTGGGAGCCCCAAATTTGTAATCCTAGGCCAGTGGTGGCGAACCTATGGCACGGGTGCCAGAGGCGGCACTCAGAGCCCTCTCTGTGGGCACGCAAGCCATTGCCCCAGTCCTAGCCTTCAGATAGGTTTTATAAAACCTTTTTGCTTTAGGCCTCCGCCACCGTGTACAAAAAAAAAAAGGTTCAATCAATTAGTAAATTTCAACTTCTCGCAGGAAAAAAAAAGATCTGGCAAAGTTGGAATTGATTGATTGAACTTTTTAGTCCCACCCAGTCTGCTGTTACCACTGCAGCCATGTCCACCCAATGGGCCACACCCACCCGACACCCGATGATGCATAAGTGGGTTTTGGGTTGCAATTTGGGCACTCGGTCTTTAAAAGGTTTGCCATTACTGTCCTAGGCCATCACTACCCTATACCATGGAAATGTGTAAATAAGTCCATATATAGAATATGCTTCAATAGATTTCAGTTTCTGATAGTGCTTAACCACATTGAAAAAACAAAACCTTCCCTTATAAACAAATAAGAGCAGTATAAGTATATTAACCTCTTGCTATTAATAAATATGTTGTTTTGCTGTGATACATTTATTATTATAAAACATGTAACATGTTTTTTATGAGTGGGAAATTCGACTATTTAAATATATCTGAGTAAATCAATATTACTCAGTAAAATCATTTGTAGTGATAGTGATAGATCAAATAACTTCTTCTGTATTTAACATTACAACACATCTCTCAATTGTTTTCATAATGAAGGATTGCCTTTGTTAAGCAACATAAAACCCTGAGTGCAGCATAATTTATGCCAGCATAATTTTCTGTTAACCCAAAGATCTGAGAAATACACTTGAACATAGCTGCGAGGAAGTGTCCCAATTAGTTTGTTATACATATATATTTATGAGGAAAATCAGAAAACAAGTATTTCTAGAATTACAATAACACCAACATTTAAATTGGAATAGTTTTTAAACAATGTAAGAGAAATATAGATGTACATCAGAAAAAAGAATATATTTTAGAAGAAGCTTAAATAGTTTAACAGATTAACTTAACAGAATTAACAGAAAAAGAGGCATAATTTTTAAACTTTGCATTCTAAACTAATCTATATAGATAACAATAAGATTTTTTGCAAGCCTCTCTTAAAAGGAAATGAGTTAGGTCTAAATAAGCTTGACTGTTAAACAGCTTAAATTATTCTATAATTCTAACATATTTGAAATCACGGATGTCAAACTCGCCATGTCACGTGATGTGTCGTGACGTATTGTGACTCTTTTTGCATTGCCAGCAATGTGGCGGGCGCAGCTTTGGCATGATGAAACCGGCCCACGGGCCGGCAGTTTGACAACCATTTTAGTTCATATTATTTTCAAATACTGTTTCATGTAATTACCTATTAACAATCAGGAATATATAATTTTATGTATATTAGACAATCTTTTCATTAACTATCCAATTAACTTCCATGTAACTCAAAGATATATATAATAATCAACTTAGTCATGATTCCTTCCTAATTCTTTATTTTCATTTCCTCACATTTCAACCTTCCCCTTTTTATGAGTACTTCAAAATGGTGACTCTCTTTAGAATGCTAACATCCTTTTCTTCCCAAGAATAATCTTTTCAGGGAGAAATGGACTCTTTGAAAATCTAAGTGTCCAAGCTTGAAAAACTGCTTCCAGGTCTATTGTATTTCCTGCATGGAAGAATACTTTGTATTATGGTCCTCCTGATGCAATTATCAAAGAAGAAGTAGATGAAGGGGTTTGTGCAGCTGTTCGCAAATGCAAATAGACCACCCAGTTCCATGCCCAGATGGGCAATTTTATAATAAAGGCAGAAAGATTGCTGCAGTTCCGAGTTGTTCGATATCAAAGCCAAGATCTTAAAGATGTTGAAAGGAGTCCATGAGAAAAGAAAAACTACTGCTACTATGAAGACAATTTTGATGGATTTTCTTAGTTTTTTGTCATGTTTCCCAAATTTCTGATAGTGCACATAGAGTTTTTTAATTATGGAATAATGCAATGTTAGTATGCTGAACAGTGGTATAAAGAAAGCTAAAATTAGCAATATCAGTGATCCAATCCAATTGTTGAATATGGTTTCCTTGTCCACACAATAGGTATTGTTGTTGTATCTTCTCAGCTCTCTGGACTGTAGAGTAGGCAGCCCTAACAGGCAGGATAGTATCCAAACACAGATGCAAACAAGAATAGGATAAAGCTTTGTTCTAATTTTTCTGGCCATTGAGGGGTACATGATGGTCAAGTACCGGTCACCACTCATCCAAGTCAGAAGAAAAATACTGCAGTACATGTTGACTGAGATAATGTAGGAACTGCCTTTGCACAGAATAAAGCCAGATCTCCAAAGTCCTGAGGCTAGCTCCTTGTCTATCCAGAAAGGCAATGTGATAAGAAAACTAAAGTCAGAAATTGCCAAGTTGACAATGAAGGTATCAGTAAGCCTCCATACACGTTGTTTGGAGATTAATACTCCTATCAGAAGACCATTGCCCACTATCCCCACAAGAAAAATAACAATATAAAGAACACTCACAAGAATTTCCATATTGGGCAGCTTCAGAATCTGGCAATTTTCTTCAGGAGCATCTGGGCTAAGATAGTAGAAGTAATCATAGCTGGGAGTTGTTTCCTCCATTGCAAAAATGATTTAGCAGCTGGTTGGTGCAGGAGTAGCTAAACTCTTTATTTTTGGTGCAATAAACAGTTCTGCTCTTTCCTTCAATTTCTTCCAGATAACAATAACTAAGCAGCCACTTAAGTGGGGAAAAAAGAATGTGAGGGTCAGTGGTTTCCTGAACCTAAACGTATTTATGTTTTTTTATTTAAAGAACTATTGTGGTTTTTGGTTGCTTAGTAGAAGCAAAAAAAAAAAAAAAAAAAACAGGCGAACTTCTCAGGGGACCTGTTTTTTGTTTTTTTTAAAAGTAACGTTTACTTGCCCAATGTTGTTTCTTTCACTTCCACAGCCTTTGTTGACCAAGATACTCACATTTTTGACAAAACAAACAAGTATGTATCTTTACATTTCACTCTGCCACTAATATTAATTTTAATTCTACAGTAAGTTCCCATAGAACATTTATCACACTATGTTTGACCAGTAGCACTTTTTTTGCCTTCTGACTTGATTTACATAGACTTGCTATTTTTGCAGTGATTTCAAGGTACTTTAGTTTAACATAGATTTTCTAGAAGAAACTATAATGTTATTTGTTTGTTTGATATTAGGATATAAATTACTGTTGTTTACTTTGTTTTCAAAGTCTCTCCAGGGCTGGTTTAAATGAGTTACAGCATATAAAGGAACATAGGTCCTAAAAATATTCCCCCTCAATTAAGCAGAATGACAGGTTGAAAAAAGCCAGAGGCAAATGAATACAAGCAGCTATAGTGATTAGTTTTCATCTTCTTGTTCCCAAGGAAGTATCTCATGTTTGCTTCAGACTGACAGAATTTTGGGACCAATGTAGACTAATGCAACTGTGTTAGTCTTTGGATAGACAGAGCCAATGAGGGATTTATCCATCAGCTAATGCAGCTCTGTGTTAGCCAGTTAACCAATTAGCCAAATGGTAGATAGAACAACAGGACTATTCTTCTAAATGTCTGTTCCCTTCCCTTAGGAATTATAATCTATGGGCCACAAGGAATCAAGCTTTCTCTGTTGCAGCCCCTGTTCTAACCCTAACCCTAACCCCTTACCCTCTTGTATTTTAGGAAAGCCACTAAGCCTGAAATGTAAAGAAATGTCTAAAAAAAACTCTAGTGTAAGCAACAACTCCACCCTGGGGTGTGTTTCACTGTTTTTGTAATTGATGACCTTAGTTTCTTTCTTAGAAACCCCTGTTTCATTGTTATTTGTTATTTCATTATGCTGTTTTTATATATTAACTCTCCAATGTTTTCATTAAAATAACTACAACTGATTTTAAAAGGATTTTCTTTAAGTAAGCATGTTTAGGATTGCTAGCTTTTAAGAATTACATTTAGTGATTAAGTACTAAGAATAAAAAAACTGGTTTTATGGAAATTCTCATTTCCAGCACTGTTTATTCCTTCTATAGCAGAATTATTCTTAATAACAACAGGTAAATATTTGCATAGGAATTTTATCAGTCTAATTTTCAGCAGAAAATTCTGCTACTCATACAGTGAAAACAATACTCTGACATATAGTAGCAAATTCAGGGAAATTTGATAGAATATGTACAGTATATGTAACCCAGGATTGGAGTCCTTGGTGCTCTGAACTTGATTATTTGCTTCTGTTGTCTACCAAAACAAAACAATACAAGAACAAGTTTTTTTTAATGATCATTTTGATTTAAGATTAAAAGAGAAGTTTAAAAGCACAATAGCAAACACTCTAGACTGGTTACAATGAAGGAGATATAGAAATAAAAAGGTTTTGCCAGGATTTATGCCATAGTTAGATGCAAGTAATATTTTCCCTCTCCATCTGAAATTACCCCGGGACAGCCTGAAACATGTAAAATCAAAGTTCTATTACCCATTATTTCGGAGAGAAGTTAAGTGAAGGCAGGCATATAGAGATTAGTAATGGGAATCGCTAATTTCTGCCAGCACAGGTAATCTTTGTTAGGGGCATTGTTTTGTGTCATGATCATGATGCAAAAACAGTAAGTTACATATCTGCATCAGATGTCAGGATGCAAATATGTAACGGCAAGATTAATGTCCCTTTGCTCGTATCTTTCAGTATACCTAATCTTAGTTTGTTGAGCCATACTTGCCAGTATTCTTTTTCTGCCCACTGAAGAATAGTGCTTAGCACATCAATTCATAAGGGAACCATCCTGTAAATGTATGTGCTGGCGCCATCTGACAGCTCCAAATGAGTATGTGGACAACTGAACTGAAAGGCATTCAGTGCACGGAAAATTGCTACAACGTTTGTAAATCTAAGGGGTTAACAATTAATTTTACACTCAACAATGTCCTCATTTCCCTAGCAGAACTTCAACTGCTTTCCGCAATTCTCTTCCTTTCCGTTTGAATCTAACAATCCTGGCAGCCAATATCTGATGCCCGGAATGCATGAATGCACGCATTCATAAGTAAACAAAACCAATTGTTTGTCCTGGAGCGAACCTAAGCGTGTCACTTTGCCTTCAGAACGTGGCAGCCAACAAGATGCGAACTACACTTCCCAGAGATCTTGGCGGCACAGGGGCGGATAAGCCTCTGCGGAGGCGCTTCCCGCTCTCCTGACTGAGCTGCTCTTGGGGTGGGGGGTGGAAACGACGCCGTGGAGTCGGGAGAACGATGGGAGGTAAGTAGAATTGGGCCCTACCGACCCCTGATTGTTTCCCTGGTAATCCAAGGAAAGAATTTGTGAATGAAATAGGGGACAATGTAGAAGAGCATGGTTGGATCCATTGCAGGGGATGTGGTTACCTAAAACGGGATCCTGAAAGAGCTGCAATCTTATATTTTATTAAGGGTCACTATCGTTAGATAGGAGGAAAACCGGGACCCCGCACTGCTTAGTTGTCACATATTTCTATGGAAACCGGATAAATCCTGCAGGTTTCTCTCTAGCCATCTCAATCTGGCAATTAGTTTATTTCATCCCCTAGTATATGCCTTTAAATTTTCTATGCACTAATATTTTAACAGTGCCATCCCCCACATATTTGGTGAGAACTTTCACTTCATTACTTTCAGAGATACAGGAATGGGATTGCATGGATAAAACACAAAACTGAGTATTAAATGGGTTTATAAAGATGCATTCTGGTTGCCATTCTCTTCTGTACTCATCTCCCCAAAAAAGCCTTGAAAAAAATACCACAGAAATGGACATGAGAATTTGTTTCTCTTACTAAGATATGGGTGGTGATTTCCCACAAATAGCATGTTTAATGAAAAAAAAAGAGACTTTGTGTCCCTTCCCTTTAAAAGTCCCTGCCCTAAGTTGATGATATGATTAAAGAGTTGCCCTTATAGTTCAAAAGCCTTTCAACAACATATGCGCCATCTAATCAAATTCTTCTATGGGTGAGACCAATAGCCTGATTCTTTTTGAGCTTTTCACATAATAAGAAAAAAATAGGATCTGGTTCCTTTGTTTTGAAAGAAAAAAGTATTCTAAATTGTTCCTATTATATACTTAAATGATATATTTACTAATTATATATTCACTAAGAGCATTCATGTCTACATGCACACCCTTAATGTGGCAAGAAATGAATATAAATATGAAAGCAAGTTTGATTTGATTGTGATGAAAGATTGAGGAAAGACACAAAGAGAGACTAATAAAAGATAAATGGGCATGAAAGAAAAGGAAGAAAATGAAACAAACAAATATAAAAGTAGAAAGGTTGCAGGAAAAGAAACGATGTGTCCTATATAAAACAAATAAATTAATCTTCCAACTGAATAAATGGAAAGTGGATATAAAGGAAGGTAATGTAGACCTGCTTGGAGAACAGTGAAAATAATACCAAATGCCAGAAGTATGTGTTGATTCATGCCAAATAAAGTATAAAAGAAAGATGAAGAAAAACACAATGGATGAAAAAATGCACAGGAGAATGCTGCAGAAATGAGAAAAGAAAAATACATAGAAGAAAATAATGCAGAAATTATAAAAGAAAGATATTGTATATTGTATAGATAGGAAAAAATATCAGCAAAGAATTAAGATTTAAGAGGGAAAGAAAATGAAGATTGAGAGGGGGGAGTGAGTTAAAAAGGCTAAAGTGAATGCAATTAAAGATAGAAGATGAAATGGTTTAGGATGAAAAAATAGGAAGAAAGAGTATTATGTATATTTGCTGCCTTGAGTTATTTATAAAGTAAAAAAGGCGGGATAAAAATCTGATAAAAAAATCCAGGAATGCTGGAAAGGGTATTGAAAAGGAAGTAAAACCTGATGTTAGAATGTGGCATAATAGTAAAAGTACAATTGTTGATGGTGTAACTGGAGAAATGTTAAAATATGGAAGTGCTTTACTTCTAGAGTACCATATATGCCGGCGTATAAGACGACTTCCGGAAGCGCTAAACTCGACGCCAAAGACGGGGGTCGTCTTATACGCCGGGTCGCCTAATACGCCGGCATATACCGTAACTGTGAGAGTTGTTTAATGTGTATGTCAGGATTGAATCTGTGCTTCATGATTGTAGGGGTGCTCTTATTCCTCTCTAAGTTAAAAAGAAAACTGGATGGAGTTAGTTTATTAAGAGTGCCTGGGAAAGTATTTTGCAAAATTCTCATTAAGAAGATGTATTATATTTTGGTTGATTTAGAAAAAGTATATGATAAAGTAAAATAAATTTGCTTTGTGGATTTAAATATAAAATTGAGAATTAGTTGCTGAATGTAATAAAAGCAGTATACGGTGCTTCCTTTACTACTATGGAAGTAAAACATGCATGAGAATAAATGGAATGCTTAACAAATAGCTTACTATTGAACATAGAGTAAGACAGGTTGTAGAGTAACTCTGGTTGTTTAATGAATTTATGAATAATGTATATGGTTGTGCTCATGTTAAAATTGCATTGGTTGGAGATCTGAATGGACATGCATTTTTTTTACATAGATAATATCATGTTGTTGACTAAGAACCCAAAGCATTTGCAGTAAATGATACATGATGATGTGATAATGTGATGCAACAAAGAGTATACATTTGAGAGCAACTACATTAAACATCAAGGAATTTGTATTTGACAGGGAAAGTGGAATGAACAATTGCAAATTTTATATGTATA